TCCGATCTGGGAGGCGAGGAAGCGGGGGGAGCTGGAACAATGCGGCGGGGGGGACATCGCGGCCGGGAGCTGGGAGCCCTGCGTGGGTGTACGGGAGGCTGGGAATACGCTTCGCAAACAATGACATTAACAGTGCTGGCAGGGCTACAGCCTCGGGCTGAGAACAGGACCAGAGCGGGAGGCTATTCCTGCATTTTAAAATAAAAGTAATTGTCTTCAAGCATTAGAAAAATCACTAGTCTGGCTGTGCTTTCGCTGGAGTCGGTGCTAGAATTCCCACTGGCAGAGAAGGGAGCGGGGTCAGCTCCAAGCTCTCTAAAGCAATTGAACTTATTTCTGTTTCTGTAGCAACTTTGCATTTGCTCTGGTCTGTTTTGCTATATTTTGAGGGGATTGCACACTTGAAATGAATCTCGCTAGCAGTTTTAGAATTAAAATCCAAACCAATTCTGTCTATACGTAATGGAGTTGAGGGAACGGCGTAAGAAAAGGCTGCTCTTGTCTTAAGAAGGTCAGTGCTGAGCCATTCTGTAAATGTTAATTTACTCTTCTTCAGGTTACAGAAATACTGTTCACCATTAGTTCTGTGCTACTCAGCAGGGAACTGATGCAACGTTGTAGAAAATAACTCTAAATGGAGGTTTTAGCTTCACCAACACTCTCTCCTCTGGTCAAGCAATGATGAAATCACTAGTACAGCAGCACAGCTGCGAAAGTCGGCTGCTTTGGAAGTTGCTAAGGAAATATAAGTGTAGGAGATGATTTTAAAAAGTAAAACATAAACTCCTGAAAATTTCCTTTGCACTTTGAGGAGCCAGGGCATTGGGACAGTCTCTGGTACAGTGGACAAAACACACCCTTGCACTAGAAAGTGACAGGGCCTGGCGATTCAGGCTTGGATCCTACAGCAAAGTTAAAAATTAATAGCACATGTATATCCCAGGAAACTCAAGCTGTGTGGCCTTATGTGTGGGGATGTAAATAATAGCACTAATTGTTTCAAACTGGAAAACTAAAATTCAGATACATTTCGCAGTTGGTTCTTAATACTTGATATAATTTTAATACAAAGAATCATCATCATCATTTTTCCTGTCTCCAAGCAATAATTTGATAACTCAAACCCCTGGCTTTTTACTACCCTGTTTCCTGTTGTCCATGCAGTAATTACATTGTCCATTCTGCTATTTGAGTAAATAGTGTGAATCAGTACAGATTTTAAAGTTTCTTCTGTCCCAGAAATTCTGCTGTAGGATATCAAGTTTCTACCCAGCACTTGGGCAGCTATTTTTTCCTCTTCGCTATATGCGTGTAATAGCTATTATCATAAACTGAAGTTATACAGCAACAAGAGGAAGTATTTTTAGGTGTGATCTCATTTTGCAAAGGATAGAGTTATTCTAAGTATGTGCTTGTATTTTCCATTGTTTGCAGTAGCCACTAAAAAGTTAGAAAATAAAATGTTTCACCACTTCTTCCAGCATTCTTCTGGGCCTGATCCAAAAGGCATGGCAGTCAATGGGAGTACTTAGTTAGCCACTGCTTTTTCTCCTGGCGTTTTAATGAATTTATAAATCGGTGTAACTTTTCCCTTTGTTTCAGTAAAAACACCCGTTGTGGCTGCACTACTAAGAAAAGAAGCTGTAAAATCACAGGGTCTGTTTTAATTTTTATTTTTTTTTTCAGGGAAGGATACGGGTGGGTTTGAGGGGTTTTTACCAGATATTTTAACCTAGTGTATATGGACTACTCCTCAAGTTTCCTCTCCAGGTGCAGAGTCCTCTCAGGGCTGGTTGCTCCTGCTGGAAAGGGGGGTTTGGGGGTCCCAGAGGGTGCCGAGCCCCAGCCCTGGTGCAGCACAGCCCTCCCCGCGCCCTGGCCTCGCAGATACTCCTCTTGCAGACGCATGACAACGGCAGTAAGGAATTTGGAGGCTCTCTAAACTAATTTCTTCAGCAGCCACACCTTTTAATCAGGGGAGGAAATCTAGAGACTTCCAGACCCATGTGAAAACAAGCGAGACCGGCCTGTGTGGAGCCCAGGTGCTGGCTGTGGGGCGGTGGGGGGGTTTCATGGCCGCCTCTGGTGTGGGGGGCTCTGCCGGGCCAAGGGCACCCGCTGGTCTGAGCAGGGCCCTCGGCAATGGCTGCGCTCTCAGCCCTGTGCCTCAGCAGGGGATAGTGGGGTATGTAAAACTCCATAAGGGAGCAGTTTTTAATCTACACATCCCGGGGCGGGGGTTGTGTCCTGCAGAGCAGTGTGGTTTTCTGTCAGCCGGGGGACCCTCCTCTCCCCTCTCAGGCCCTGGAAAGAGCCGTCCAAGTCTGGCAGCCAGCAGGTTTTGAGAGCCTGTCTCTTTTTAACAGCAGCTTCCAACACCTCTTCTTTTGTTCTCCTTTACTGCTGGGGAATTTCCATTGCTTCAAGTGTCCCTCCCCTCAGACAACCTGGGAGAAGCCAGTTTCCTTCGGCGGGGCCAGCCTCCCCCCCAGCAGCTGCATTGTTCTGCCAGGGCCGCGGCGGCCCGTCCCGTGTCGGCCGCTCGCCCCCATTGTCCGCCGGCGGCTTCCAGCTGCCCTGCGGGATACGTGACACGGTCCCTGTCAGCAAAAGGCCGAGCCAATATGAGCTGATGGTTTGAGTTATGCGCAGAGTTCGTAAAATAGACCTCAACTGATAAGTTATACCCTCGACAGATTCCCCAGCTGCTACATAAAATTTTGAGTTAGTGGTGTGTCTCTTAATAACTCTGAGTTTATTTATGGTGGATGAGAAATAAGCCTTCTACTACACCAGGCGGATTCTGGAACAATAGATTCCGAGCTTCTCGGATTCTCCCGCCCCGCAGGACTGACCTCTTGTCCAAGACCAGCTTCTGAAGGGTCAGAGGACAAAGGAGAAACCGTGAAAACTCGCTTCAGCTTTGTCCCTCAAGAGACCATGCCTCAGATCTGTGGCAAAGTGTCTCAACTGAGGCTGTTGAGGAGGTTTTCTTTCTAAGATTTCCAAGAATTGGAAGCTTTGTAAACTTTTCGTCTCCTGTTTCATAGAATTTTTAAAAAAGGTGGTTCTCTTAGCCCTGACTTACATTGCTTCTGCCTCTTCTCCCAGTAAGCATCTTTTCTACAGTTTCATAGAACAACTTCTGACTTTAGAAGTTTCTGGCCACATTTTCCTACACCCTGCTGCAGTTCACCACCCTCTTGGTCCTGACAAAACCCTTCCTGCACAGAGACTATGTGTGTAAGATGACTGAAATAGGGTTGTGTTGGGTTCCTTTCTTAAACAATCCAGCTCAGTTCAGTAGTCATGGAGTAAACTTGGCCAGTGGTCAAGGACATAAGCAACATAAGCTAGATTTGCTAGCACAGAATCTGTGGGGTAACGGGAGACTTCAGAGGGAGTGGAGAGGATTTTCTGGGTCAGCAGTGCACAAGCAGGTAACTCGTTCTTAATTGTAAGGATCTAAGAGTGTATAAATTGGGGCAGGTAGTGTCTCAAGATTCATGGCATTAAAATGACTGGGATGGGCAACAGCAAAACCTAGTCCTGTTCTTTCTGCTAATTAAATACGTAGTCTGCAATAATAATCCTAATACACTGTCACTTTCAACACCTATGTTGACATAGCAATATTTTGTTCACTGTTGAAAGAGAAGGTGAGTTTGACCTTGCAAGCTTGTTAAAGGAAAAGA